ACCATCAATCCAACCATCCATCCATCCATCCATTAACCATTCATCCATCCATCCATCCATTAACCATTCATCCATCCATCCATCCATCCATCCATCCATCTATTAACCATCCATCCAATTACCAACCATCCCTCCATCCATTCATCCATTAACCAGTCATCCATCCATCCATCCATCCATTAACCATCCATCCATCCATCCATCCATTAACCATTCATCCATCCATCCATCCATCTATTAACCATCAATCCCACCATCCATCCATCCATCCATCTATCCATCCATCCATTAACCGTCCATCCATCCATCCATCCATCCATTAACCGTCCATCCATTAACCGTGCATCCATCCATCCATCCATCCAACCATCCATCCATCCATCCATCCATCCATCCATCCATCCATCCATCCATCCATCCATTCCTTAAACAAACATCCATCCATCCATCCATCCATTAACCGTCCATCCATCCATCCATCCATCCATCCATCCGTCCATCCATCCATCCATCCATCCATCCATCCATTAACCGTCCATCCATCCATCCATCCATCCATCCATCCATCCATCCATCCATCCATCCATCCATCCATTCCTTAAACAAACATCCATGCATCCATCCAACCATCCATTAACTATTCATCCATCCATCCATCTATCCATTAACCATTCATCCATCCATCCATGAATGCTTGTATAAAAGATATATGTATGCAATATGTCAAATACATAAAAACTGCAGTCTTTTATTTTCTTTAAATATTTTGGCCATGAGTTCCTTTTTTTCTTTGAGCACCTACTCCCAAAAATGTCAAGTGTCTGTCCATGTTTTTATAAACCTACTGAAGATGAGGAGTGGAGGGTAAATTGATGGATTAGGAACTTTGTTTCTCATACTGAGTCATATTTGAATACATTTCTATCAACCATTATTATTTGTTATATTTTACTGACAATAAAACAATAAATCATATCAGTGAGTTCAGAGTTAAGTGTTTGATGATGTAAATACTTAAGTATTTTTAAAGCACAAATTGTAACAAGCTGTTTGTTTTCTGATTTACAGTTTGACAATATGTTGATTCTTTGTTTTGTTGTAATACAAAAATCAATAAATGTGTGCTGTGTCACTTTGTGTAGTTTTTTTGTTATTAATTCAGGGTGGAGTGGCGCCCAGTGATTAGGGCATAGGGGCTTGGGATCCTGAGGTTGTGAGTTCGAAAACCCACTACCACAGACTGCCACTCTGGGTCTCTGAGCAAGACCCTTAGAGGAAAAGTCCGGTCATATTCATATTTCAATCTTCTACAAGTATTTTATATGTGAAATTATTCCATCTTGTTCAATAAATGATCAGTGTTTTTAATTAAGAGTAATTTTCATGTGAATGTGCTTTACTGGAGGCATCCATGTTTGTCAAAGAACACTACTGCCACCTACTGGTTTGTGACGTCACGGTGCGGTATCGGCTGTTGATCAAGTCCCAGTGCTGTATCTGGTGTTTGTCACAACGCGCTATTATCCAAGTCATCTTGAAAACATTCTTCTTCCAAATGTTGGCTACATATTACGGGTTTTTTCTCTGGCCAGAAGTTCGATGGCAAATCCTCCCTCTTCAAGTTGGCGATCCAACGACCAACCCGTCCGTGGAGGATCAGGAATCAGAAAGGTGGAATAACTCTTTTTTTTTCACTTTTACCCGATGTATTCCAGCATCCAGCTGCCATGCACGTGGGCATTGTCAGTTTCACTATATCTCTGGTGAATTTCAATGGTGAAGTCCTCTGGAAATCTTTAATAATTGTTGTTGATTGCAGATGTGTCTAGTAGTTCCCATTGATTTAGCTTGTAAAGCGGGGAGAATGGCGCTAGGCTTACCGCACAGTGACGTCACTGCTGGAAGATGGCAGGAGGGAGGGGTTGGGCCGCTCCCAGGCTCAGTGATTGCGATGAAAATTATTGTTATTATTTTTTTACTAATTCATGCCTAATTCATTAAAACACTGTGAACGTATTAGTTTTAGGTATAAATAATGATCCATTGATTATTCCTTGCTGACCGGACTTTTCCTTTAACCCCAGATTGCTCCCTAAGCGCCACACAATGGCAGCCCACTGCTCCCCAAAAGGGATGGGTTAAATACAGAGTGTTGATTTCTTCATTGTGAGATCAATAAAGTTTAATTTATTTTTATTATTTATTTATTTCAGAATATATACTTTACATTACAATATGCAAAAAATGAACAGATTAAAAGAAGGTATTTGTTGGTATGAATGTTGTACCTTTAATAGTAATAATAATAATGTATAACTATTTCATGTGTTATTAATGTTCTCATTATTATGTTTGAAAAATAAATACAGTAATTATTATAGGTAGATATTATTTGACAGTAAGACACATAGTGACGCTTAAAAGTATAATATTCTAGCCTCAAATTATCTTAAAACGTATTTTTATTGAATAAAAAAGTTACGGAAAAGTAAAATAATGAGGCAGAAATGTAGACAGAAATGTAAAAACGACTGGCAGAAATAAATAGCATTGAAGAAATAAATAGGTAAAAAAAAAAATTACAAAGGAAGAATAAAACAGACCAAAATATTATAACATGCACGTAAATAAATACTTAAAAAAATAAGTAATTAATAAATGAAGTCGAAGATTATAACGAACAATAAATACATGAGATAATTATTACAAAGAAGAATAAATAAAGAAGCCAATCAAAAGAGATATATACATTTATGTCTCACTGTATAATTTCTAACTACATTTATTTTTTTTTTAATTGTATTTTTGGGGGCAATTAATTGCATGGTTATTTATTTATTGAGCATTTATTTATTTCTGTATTTATTTTTAAATATGGTAGGACCAGCTCTGCTATATTCTACTATGTAAGTTATACAGTGAGCCATAAATGTATATATCTCTTTTATTAGCTTCTCTGTTTTTTCACCTTTGTAATAATTACCTTATTTACAAATGCTAACCAACCAATGGGCAGAAGTTGACCCTCTTAGACACAGCTTTTCCTCAATTGCATAAAGAGGCAGAAATGCAGACAGAAATGTAAAAACGACAGGCAGAAATAAATAACATTGAAGAAATTAATAGGTTAAAAAGATTACAAAGGAAGAATTTGTTTCTATTTATTTCTAAATATGGTAGAACTGGTCCTCCATACATTGTCTTCTTAGAACCAAAGCAGGAATGATCTCCGGTCTGCGCATGCGCAGCAGGATATTACACATTAGCTGGGCTCGTGCCGTTGCAGCGGCTTCCTCCGGATAAATCTCACCGGTTCCCCTCGCTGGCTGTCCCCCATCATGTTCAGAGCTGCCGTCCGACTGTCGGTCTCCGGTGCTCGGAGTTTAACTCGCACACAGCCAAGGTGCCAAGGTATTTGTCACTTATTTATCTCGGGTGATGAACCGTTTAATCGCGGAAGCGTATGAAGCTGAAGGGGCGAAGTTCAATCGGAGATATCAGTGCGCTCTTGCCAGGTTAGCTAGCAGCCCACCGCTGCTAACTGAAAATACACTCAGTCTGATTAAAACTTCTTAATATGTTGGTCTATAACGTAACATTTTTCTTTAAGTACGCATTATTTAACATAGTTTAAAACTGTTTTATTGCCATATCATGTCAGTTTTGGGCTCTGTGGTAGCGGTGTCCTTGCCTTGACCGAGCCGGGACATGCTAATGGTGTTAGCTGCGGTTATCTCAGCTGTAAAAAGGACCGACAGCGTCTGGGACGCCTGAGAAAGACACATCATCCCAGCGTTAATGAGCTGGTTTAGCTTATTTAAGCCGTTGTAGGGCAGAGGGAGCTACAATATGATGATCACTTTTACAATAGACCTATAAGTGAATTGAGCTACGTGCTGTTTCATATCCGGACAATGGAAGTAATCCACCTGTCACGCAGTTTGTCCTTTTTCTCCTTCGCTCCCTGTAAACTTGTCCTCTGTTCATCTTCCATGTTTAACTATTGCGTAACACCGAACAGCACTGGAAGCATTTTATCCATCTTAGCCTCTGAATGTGTTTGTTTTTAACCACACAGCTCCTCTGGCATCAAGGTGTTACTCCCACGGGAAGCAGGAGACGGATGAAGAGTTTGATGCCCGCTGGGTGACCTACTTCAACAAGCCTGACATTGATGCATGGGAGCTGAGAAAAGGCAGGTCTTTATTAAAACCAAGCTGTTTAACTGATGGGGCAGTGGGTAGCACTGCTGCTATGCAGTAAGAAGGTTCTGGGTTCGATTTCCGGCCCAGGGTCTATCTGCATGGAGTTTGCATGTTCTCCCTGTGTGCATGGGTTCTCTCCGGGTACTCCAGCTTCCTCCAACAGTCCAAAAACATTACTTTTTGGTTAATTGGCTTCTCTAAATTCTCCTTAGGTGTGAGTGTGTGTGTGAATGGTTGTCCTGTTTGTCTCTGTCAGCTGGAGATGTGCACCAGCACCCCTTATGACCCCCGCTTGGGATAAGCGTGACCGAAGATGGATGGATGTTTAACCAACGTCATGTTGCCAAATGGGGATAAACACAGCTTCAAGTTAGCTAAAATAAAGTTATTTACTCAAGGTCAGTTCATTAATCTGTGCACGGGGGGGCTTGTCAGCTATTGGAGACGTGATCTAGTCTAATATTAGACTGAAAGCAAATAAGTGAGGATTAATTTCTCATCACTGTACTGTGATGCCATGTCCACGGTGTATTCTTGAGGTAAATACATTTTAGTTGACTTACTTACAGAAGAATAAAAATTATTGTTTATTAACTTACTGAATAATCTAAGTAGTAGACCAGGGGTAACCCTTTAAAAATCAGCGGGGTCCGAATAAAGAAAATTAGGTATTGAGACATTTTTAATTATAATCTGTTACTTAAGACAGAATTTGACACTGAAATAAAATGCAGGTGTTTATGCATCCATGTTATACATTGAATTTTTAAATGAAAAAATATATATATATTAGTGCTGTCAAAATTATCGCGTTATTAACGCGTTAACGCGAGGCCATTTTAACGGCGATAATTTTTTTAACGTGAGATTAACGCTATGTGGTTTTATGGTACAATTTTTCCAAGTACATCCCGCTGCAGCCTGCGGGAAGGCGGGGCTATTTTCCCCCAGTGTATGCATTTCTCATAGGCTTCAAGAGCGGAGCTCCTCAAGGGAAAAAGACGCTCATACACTGGGTGACGCTAGTGCCTTTTCTTTAAGCCCCACCACCAACAAACAAGTTGAGTGTCTGGTAACTAGTAGCAACCTGAAATACGCTGAGAAAACTGATTACTGAGGTGAAATGGAATCTCGTAGCAGCACTCTTGCCGTCTCTGTACGCAACAGGTCGGTATCGCGTGTGTGTGTGTGTGGGTGGGTGTGTCTGTGTGTGGGTGGGTGGGTGTGTGTGTGTTCTCATTTTTGTTAAGAGGCTGAAAAGTAACTTTCTAGAGAGCATAGACTACCTTCATCTAGTGATGTCGGTCTATTGATTTTGATGTATTGATTGAAAATTGTTCATTATTACCTTGGTTAATTAACATCTAATGTTAACTCTACTAAATTTTATAGCAGTAGGGTAAAATGCTTGTCTTTGTTCAAAAGACTGTATTAACTGTAAAGACTGTCTTTTACATCAGCCTGTTTTCAGGGCCTTTTTTTTGCCTACATATTTGTTATTTTTTGCTACATGCCTCCCCATCTTCTTGCCATATGTTTCTATGGCATAAATCAGTATCTGTGACCTGTTTTCATTTTAAAAAAAGAACATTGGCACAAACCTAGCCTGTATGTATTTTTTTGTATGTCATCGAGAGTATTTAAATGATTTTCAATCAGGAAAAAAATGTGCGATTAAAATGCGATTAATCGCGAGTTAACTCAGGCATTGATGCGATTAATCGCGATTAAAAAATTTAATCGATTGACAGCACTAATATATATATAAAAAAAAGAACACTTTTCCATTTTAAAATCTAAAGTGTTTTTTGAAGTAGAGAACAACAATCGTTCAATTCGTTGTTTATAGACAATTTCCTGATTCACGTACTTTATAAAACACCTGAACTGACCGTTTATTTTATTTCTTTTTTCGGTCTTAATAAGAACAGTGGGCTTTAGGCTGCCCTGCAAGGCTTTAAACCTGGCTTTGAATGGAGACTAAGCCATTCTCAAGCACATATCAAGGTGCTCATTTTGAGCCTGGATCCAGATTTATTGTTGATTCTGTTCATGGTGGAGAATCCTGCTTCACAGCAGCAGGTTGAGCCAAACATCCTCTAAATGTTCAGGGTCATCTTGCTTTCTATGCTTCAACCATCAGGATGTTTTCTGAGAAATGTTTGCATTTATTAAAAGTTCAGGATCTCTGGGCTAGTTAGTCGTATCAGTGAGGTTAGTCGCTTAGTGCTGACATGTTCAACTCGATGCTTTATTTACTTACATGGCTCTACGTTTTGAGTGTAGATGTTTAATAACCTTGAGGAATTTTACTGGTCTACTTGTGTATCTAAAGCATGTTTGGAGATAATACATAACTGAATATATTACAATTCCAAAATACCACATTCACATGCTGTAATGCTCTTTTTACTTTATACAATCAGTTAAATCGCTCTAGTGGATATATGATGGCTTTGTTATTCTATCCGCTTTCAAATCTGCTCACATTGTGAGGAAAAGTCATTTTATTTCCTTCCTGAAAGTTAGAGACCTGACCTTCAATGACTGTCAGTAGAAGATGTTTAATGATGGTTGGGTTTTATTTACCAACAGAGTGAATCTGAAGCAGAAAAAAAGGTGCAAAAATAAACGGCTTCAAATTAAGACTTTTTCCTAGCAGCCAGCAGTTACTTTCTGATGCTTTTAACTGTAATTCAGTCGAAAAATAAACTAAGCTTCTAAAACCACCAATAAGATTCTATTAGAATCAGGAAACATTGCTGGAAATCAAGTCTGTCTGGAAGAAACTGGTGAGTCTTGATGTTTATTGTTTTGTAAGAAGCAATTTTCCACTGCTGGTTCCACCATGATTTACTGTCAAACACTTAAGGGCAAAAAAAAAAAAAAATCACTTTTTTCCATGTTTTTTTTTTTTTGTATATTTTTACCCGTACCTTATATAGCAAGCCACTCTAAGAAGCCTCGATTTATGTTTGTCAGTGTTTCTCTTTTTTTGGAAAGGCTTCTTTAAAACCTAAGATGGGCATTAGTATTGCATTTTTTAAGGGGGGTATGCAACTCCGCCAAGACTTCCGCAGAAGTTCATCACATGTCTGGGCTGGGTTTATGGTTTATAATGGAGGTTTCCTTACAGCCATAAAATGAGCCTTGCTGCATCTCAGCATTCTTTAACCCAGAGTTTAAAATTAAGTACGGCGAAGGTTTGATTTATGATCCTCCTTCTGAAAGTTGAAGGCAAACGTCACAGTATGTCAAAGGTTCCCTCCAAGCCTCTTTTATGTCGGACATGCTGTGAATATCTTTCTCTGTGTTGGATAAACTCTGAGCCAGTCCTAATTCACCACTGTTTAAGATCCACCATATTTTAGCCGTGCTAAATTATAGTCGCATATAAAGCTGCTATTAATCAGACTAAATGCTTTCCTGCCTGTTTTGTTGAACTTTATACAGGATGTTTATAAAGAGAAGCACCTAGATGGTGCTCCTTATCAGGTTAAAGGAGATGTCAGGAAATGATCCATTAGACTAAGCACTGCTTAGTTTAAAAACAAACTTGCATTTTTTTAAACGGTTCCTTCACATTTTTGGTGGTTTCTAATAGCCAACTTGGTTTGTTTGCAAACAAGCCAAGTTGGCTATTAGACCATCCATAGGGCTTAATGAAGCTTTATATGAACATTGTTTATATGATTCAATCAGTTATTAGGATCTTTCTTTTGCAGAAACTTGTTCTTTTTTATGCTGGTGAAGATTCTCAGTCATCCAGGTCATAGTCGCTCCAAAAAAGAAAATTCAAAACAATCCACTGGACTTTGTTTCCAAGTTTAAAGACATTTCGCTTTTTCAATAGGGGGTTTTCAGGTGACGTTACGCTCACGTGACTACTCAGCGCGTCCGCCATATTGGGTGGCAGCCTTAGGCAATATTGACAGTGAAAAATGGTGAAATCGTGTGTAATTGTTGGTTGCACGGCCCGTGGAGGTGGAGATCAACGCTCTTTCTATCGCATACCAGCTGTAATCGTGAATCAATGTGAAAAAACAAAACAGCTATCTGAAAAACGCTGTCACCTATGGCTGACACGGATATCCAGGTCCGATTTGGACTGTGTTAAGCTGGAATACGCCAGAGTCTGCAGTGCTCACTTACTTTGTCACAGGTAATTAACTGTCAAGCATTTAAAACATGTAAGAATATATTAATAATAGGGCTTGGGCGTCATGACATATTACTTTCTGTGGCTGCAATGTTGACTGCCTCCGCCGCCGCTACTCAGACTACTGCCTATGACTACAGCGTACTGGACTCCCTCTCTCAGCCGTGTTTTAATTTGATTAATTTCACCTTAACTTGATTTCAACCAGCGGGAAAAGGCTCAAATATGTGAGAAACCCGGAGGGTTTAGGGAGGTTTGGCAGTTAACGTTACTAACCAAACCTTTGAAACACATAGCAGCTAGTTAAAAGTACATTATATGCCTGAGTGGTTGTTAGCACTAACGGTTAGCACTGTTTGCTGGCTTTATGAGCTGCAGCTCCTGAACCCATCCATTCGTAAACTGCACATGAGACTCCAAGGACTTGTAGCTTTGGAACTGTTCGCGCACCGCCGGCCGTTAGCCACCTAGCATAGCGAGCCCTGCATCGGATTGTTTACATTTTTACCATCTTATTAAAACTCACCCGTCCACGTATGATGGCGATTTCCTTCATGTACATTACTTCGACATCTCGTACCCAACCAGATGTGAACTGGTTGTGAGCCTCTAGACCCTTGTACGCTCTCATTTCCTCAAGAGTGTGCAGAGGGTTTTCACTGAACACCAGGTAATGAACTATGTCGCCATGCTCTACATTTGGCCAATCATCTGGATTAGTGCTAAACAAGGCATCGTGGAGGGCATAGGGGTCCATATGGTCGATCACGAAACATTTCCTCAGATATGTTCCATGATCTGGTGGCTCTAGCGTGCTGGTGTACTTATCCG